GCAGGATGTTAACCCTTTAACTATTTCTCAGTCTAATAGAAAACTAATAATAAAACAATTTAAAAAGTTTAAAAAAAGTTTTAGTTACGTCAAAAACTAATGTTTAAGTATATCCACATAAAAGTTTTTTTTGTTTCGCAAATGTTTTACTATGTTACTATGTACAATATATTTAATAATACATATTCTGTTTGTGAAACTTTTGTATTCTGGTGTCGTATTTTGTTTCTATATGTAATAAAGATTTTTATAAAATTGCGTTTTTTTCTTAAGCAGTAAAAATTTTAAATCGATGTTCTCGAAGATATTTGGAAAAATCTGAGATAATTTTAGAAAATTTGAGGTAATTTTAAATATTCTAAGGTAATCTTGGGCAATTTGAGGTAATATTTGGTAATTTTAAGTAATCTGAGGTAGTATTAGGTAATTCGAGGTATTATTAGGTAAGCTAAGGTAGTATTAGATAATCTGAGGTAATTTAAAGATAATCCGTATCAAGGGTAATTTTTCGTACACTATAATCACTAGTAACCAACCCCTCGAATAAATGATACTGAAGTCAATAAAAAAACACAATATGACAGATATAATAAACCAAAAGCATGGCCACAAATTGATGATAAAAATAAATCATTTAAAAAGAATCAAGAGGAGTCGATGAGAAATAGTGCCCAGCAAACACATATTATAACAGTTATATAACATTGGAGTCAAAAATTAAAATAACAGCGTTATATTTTTATTATATAATTGTTATGTATTATCTATTTATTATTGCTATATAACATACTAGCAAACGCATATATTATAACAGTTATATAACATTGAAACAAAAAATTAATATAACAGCTGTTATATATTTATTACATAAATTTATATATCATCTGTTTGCCGTTGCTATATAATATATTAGTAAATACCTATTATAACAGTTATATAACATTAGAATAAAAATTAAGATAACAGCTGTTACATAATATTTATTATATAAAATATATAACTCGTTTACTGTGTTGTTATATAATGTGTACGAAGAATAGTTATATGTTTCTTCATTTGCGTGTTTTGTGCAATGCTGCTAAATTTCGCGGTTTTTGTATACACACGGTCTTTTCCCGCGTGCTAAATGCATAATGTGGTGACAATGAAAAACCAATATTAAAGTAGCGCTGGTGTCGCAGTAATACGTGATCGCCTCTCTAATAAAATATGATTTATGGTTGAATTATTGTTGGCGGGAAAGCCGGCAAAAAATATTGTGCTGTGCCTTCGTGTTGCAAAAGATTCACTTTCTTTACATAAACCAAAGACTGTAAGTATATTTAAAGTACTTATTATAAGACTGTTATATATTTTATATAACTGCGATGTTCGTCATTCCTCTAATATGCTTTTTCTTACAGAGATTAAAACTCTCTCCATTGAAAGATTTGATCGCCACATCTCGAGAGACCCTGAGCTATTGCTATTTGATCGTAATTCGTTTATCGTAAGTACACAATTATTGTGGATGAGCTGTGGAATGCTGGATTTATATATTGAAGAAGCCGGAAAGTGTAAATATTATTAAACAACACAATTATTAATATTGCAAAATTTTTAGGTTATATAGCGATATAGCCATAAAAAATATTGTAATCTGTACGCTATATATATATATATATATATATATATATATATATATATGTATATATGTTTTATTTCATAATTATTATTTGCATATTATGTTCTTTATTAATATTATATATACTTAATAGATTCAATCAGTAAATAATATTTTATTCATCATTAGACATTTGTGAAGTGTCATCGAAGCATCAATTTTTATGGTTTTCATATATTTTATCATATATTTTACAATAAGTCATTGTCAATAAGTGTATTAATTTTTTAAAACTGCTCTTTAAGATATTTTGCATATACAGTTTATATATATATATCGCATATTTTATTTAATTTTTAATATGTGTTCAGAAGTAAGTTGACCCCAGGTCAAGAACTTTATTATTTGTTCAAAGAGAATGAAGAAGTAGGTCGATAATTTGAAATTCTATAATTTTTGAGTTAATCCGGCACGGGGCAGCACGCACTGAACCTACACGCCGCGCTTCAAGCGTTCGATTATCGAATCGATCGGGGATGAACTGCCTCGTCATCGAACCTGGGCATTCGCTCCTGGCACGGCTTTGCGATTAGTCACATGTGGGTTTTCCGTCGCGATTCTAATTGTTCGTAGTTCGTTTGATTAATAAAAAAAATAATCAGATTGATATTCTGCTGTGATTCAGTGATAAGTGAGATGTGAAATACGTTCACTTTGACATTCGCTAATTAACGGTAGCAACAAGGTGCGCCGTTATATACGCGACATAAAATTTGCGCTCAAAACATTGTTAACGAAGCGGAATTCAGTGATTTGGGACCAGAATTCACGCAATGGTGAAATATCAAGGTGCCGAAGTCCGATTGTTTCCACGAACGTAATAATTGTATACATGAGGCTCGCGCGTGTTCGCTTGGCACGCGTAGATCACGTGAGTTGGAGCGCGCAGATCACGTGATCAGTCATCTGGGACTGATACCTGATGTCGTGATTGTGTTTGCGTTCCTTTTTTTCATCCCTTCGAGCCCGTGGTGCTCAACGCACTGTAACATTTATGTGATCAGTGATTCTTCATGTTAATTGAAACATTTCGGTTCGCGATTTAATATCGCATTCGCCGCAATCGGCAACGTGTACGAAATCTTAATGTGAGATTTCGAACGATTCGATACACGAGTTTCGAGCGTGTTCATCGTAACTAGCAATTGTTATGCAACAAATAGTTTTTCGGTGGTGTCCATGCAACACATGCTAGATACCATATAGTGAGACATTTCGGACTGCTTAACAACCACGTCGTACGTGTTTTCGCGGTGACTATTTTATTCGTTAATAGATAAAGATTTTATGTAAAGGTTTCAAATTAATTTGCGTTTATGTACATTGTGACTCTCGGACAAATTTAGTTAATAAATGGATTGTTTTTGTGTAATTTGTGCATATAATTCCGTATTCTGGTTCTCGATTCGGCACGTGGCTTAAATCGTTACCCATCCTGCGCACCAATCGGAGCGCGTCCACCCTCCTTAAGATACAGTCCACTTTGAATCTTCCTGTGCAATCTATACACGAGACGGATATCGACGATCGGATTTACAACCCGATTGTCAGGATCCGTAGCTTCGTGCGTGAGCGTTCAACGTCAGCAATCGAGCGTACGCGCAAACATTTTTTGGTCCTTCGAGCCGGATAGGAGAGTAATGACGAATCGAGAACACTGAATTAAGGACACCAGTGATATTTAAGTGCAGCGTGATTCGAGATACAGTCAGTCAAGTAATCGCGTTTAAGTAGACAATCGTGTTAGTGACATATTCATAAACAACTATAGTGTCAAAATGGAAGACGCTCTTGCAAATCAGCAAACTATCTTCCACTCAATTGCTCGAGCTCTCGACAATTTCAAAAAGATTGGTCGTTCTAATTTGACGGCCGCAAGGGTTCGCTCACGGATTGCGACTTTACAAGCTCAATGGACTCAAGGTGTGCACAATCACACCATTCTGCTTCAACTTGTTCCAGAGGATGATCAAGGGTCAATTAATTATTTCAAGAAGAATCAATTCGACCTTCACGAAGATCTCTATCAATCAGCCCTGGATCATATGAACGAATGTCTAGAAGACCTGGTTCCTGTCGTAAGTCGAGATACATCCCTCGAAACTTCTTTTGCGCAAATGGACGCATCGTCATTCTCGTTAAAGCATCTCCCTCCTATTAAATTACCGCCTTTTTCTGGAAAAACGAGGATTGGGAGACCTTTCGCGACCGTTTTCAGTCGTTGATTATAGATAACAAAGAATTGTCAAATTTCACTCGTATGCATTTTTTGATCTCTAGTTTGACAGGTCCGGCCCGCGATGCGATATCAGGAATCAAAGTAACCGCCGAAAATTTTAAGGTCGCGTGGAAAGCGTTAACCACGCGTTTCGAGAACAAACGACGGTTGATCGAAGTACATGTGTCGACCTTATATCATCTTCCAAAGATGACTCGCGAATCAGCGTCAGAACTTCACGAGTTGCGAGATAAAACGGAACAAGCGTTAGCGACATTGAAACGTCTTGATCGTACAGCAGAGGATATTGTAAGCGATATATTAGTATACTTCATTTCACAAAAGTTTGATTCTGCTACGCGTCGAGCGTGGAAATTGAAGAGTAGCGATAACGAAAATCCTCCAACGTACAAAGACTTGATACGTTTCATATCTTCGCGCGCTATAGCGCTTGAGGAACTCCATCCTCACGAACACGATAAAACGAAGTCACATTCGAGAGTGACAAGCGCCACCGCAACTGCGTCAGTTAATTTGTCATGTCCAATTTGTAAACAATCTCACTTTCTCTCTAAGTGTCAACAATTTCTTTCAATGAGCACGGATCAACGACGCGAATTGATAAAGAAACTTAAGCGATGTTTCAATTGCTTAAGCGATAAGCACGTAGCACTTAATTGTCAGAGTAAATTCACGTGTCGCAAATGTAGCAAGCGGCATCACACAATGATCCACGTTGACTCGGGCTCATTGCAACAAACAACGAGCATTCCTGCGTCATCGAGTTCGCAGAATGTTACTAATATATCAAATGTCACAGCGCTTTCAGCGGTCACGTTAACTACATCACCGACTCCTGTGGTGTTGTCTACGGCAACGGTGAAAATACATTCGCTTTCTGGACGTTCCTTAACTGTCAGAGCCTTACTTGACGGTGGTTCAGAACTCACATTTCTTACGGAACGCGTAGCGCAAATTTTACGCTTACCTCGTATGCAAACATTTACTTCAACTTCGGGGATTAGCTGTGCAGATACCGGTACATGCCGATCTGCCGCGTTAATTAATATTTCGCCTCGCGATAAACCTGAGCCAACCTTCACCACGGTAGCTTACATCATGAGAGCATTGACGAAGTATGCTCCCAGACACGCTTCGTCATTACGTGACTGGAAACACATCTCCAACTTGACCTTAGCGGATGACGATCCGACTGGATCAACTCCTATTGACCTCATTATTGGAGCTGATTTGTATAGCAAGGTTCTTGTCAATATACGCAATGGACCCATAGGTCAACCAGACGCTATACAATCGCATTTCGGGTGGATTCTATCTGGACCTACGTCAATCCCTAATGTCATACAAAACACCCATGTAGTCGGCTCTACTTTGGTTTCATCGCATGTCGGAGCCCAACCTCAAGGCTCACCATTACCCAGTTCACAACAAAGGTATCATGCAGTTGCTCACTGCTGCTCCTTGGAACGGCAATTATGTAAGTTTTGGGAGGTTGAAGAAACTCCTCAACATGTTCATGCGTCCATAGAAGATAAACAATGCGAGGATCACTTTCAACGCACGCATACTAGAACAGCAGATGGCAGATATGTCGTGCGACTCCCTTTTAAAGAGGGCCCGCCTATTAAAATAGGCGACTCTCGCAGCATAGCTGAACGCCGACTTTCGTCGCTAATTCGTAAATTTGCTCGTCAACCCACACTTGCACAAGAATATTTGGACTTCATGCGCGAATATGAGCAATTAAATCATATGAAGCAAGTCGCTCCTTTGCATTCAAATAATGTTCAAGCGACCTATATACCTCATCATCCAGTCATCAAGGAGACAAGTTCGACAACCCGTTTAAGAGTCGTGTTCGACGCCTCCTGCCTCACATCCAATGGAACGTCTCTCAACTTTCACATGTACACCGGCCCAAAATTGCAGTCCGATCTACAAGCAGTTATATTGCGCTGGAGGCAATATAAATATGTATATTCTGCGGACATCGCTAAAATGTATCGCCAAATATTAATCGATCCTAGAGATAGAGACTACCAACGGATACTGTGGGTCGACCACAACTCAACTATACAGGAATATCAACTCCTTACCGTTACTTACGGCACTGCGTCAGCACCGTTTCTTGCTCTTCGAGTAATCCAACAATTGAACTGTGACGAGGGAGATTCATTTCCGTTAGCCTCTCCCATCCTAAGAGAAAACATCTACGTCGATGATGTATTATTTGGTGCAGACGATATCACACTGTTAAAGCAAGCTCGCACTCAACTTTGTAATTTGCTGAACCGTGGTGGTTTCGATCTCCGGAAATGGGCCAGTAACCACTCAGAATTGCTTTCAGATATTCAGCCTGACAATCATGGATTGGCTTACGCAAAAAATTTGGAGACTGATGACAGTCTAAAAATCCTCGGTATTGTCTGGAACCCGAAACATGACTGCTTTCAGTTTCAAATTACATTATCTGAAACTGTTCCTAACACCAAACGAGCAATTCTATCAACAATAGCAAGATTATTCGACCCGCTCGGGTGGGTCACACCTGCGATTTTAAAGGCGAAAACTCTCATGCAGCAATTATGGCGACACCGTATCGGATGGGACGACATTATTCCGGACGAAATCTTATCATCCTGGAAGTCTATCTACGAGTCATTACCCTATCTACGAAAAATTCAACTGAGTCGCTGGACAGGTTTTGAGTCCGGAACGGCAACTGTGGAATTACACGGGTTCGCGGACGCATCCACAATCGCTTACGCAGCAGTGGTGTTTTTACGCGTGACATCCTCCTCTGGGAAAATTACGGTCTCGCTCATTGCTGGGCGATCTAAAGTCGCGTCTCTTAAACCAATGACGGTTCCTCGCCTCGAACTTTCTGCTGCCGTTCTGCTAGTTCGCTTGATTGACTTTATCAAGCAGTCACTTCATTTAAGCGACATTGCGATTTATTGTTGGACAGACTCCACTGTAGTTCTCGCATGGCTCAAGAAGCACCCCTCAAATTGGAAAACTTTCGTAGCTCATAGAGTAGCCGAAATTCAGACACGATTACCAACCGGTAGTTGGCATCACGTAAACACCAGTGAAAACCCCGCAGACTGTGCTTCGCGCGGATTACTCGGCCGAGATTTGATATCCATCAACCTATGGTGGCATGGGCCGTCATGGTTGCATCTTCATTCTGATGAGTGGCCTCATCAAATTCTATCAGAGCACCACGAAACTCAGTTGGAACTGAAGGCATGTGAAGCTCATCAAAACAGTACTCGTGAAGACTGGAGTCTTGCTGCACGGTATTCATGGTGGCCAAAATTGATACGCGTCACTGCATATATATACCGATTCATAAACAAATGTCAACGGAAGCACGCGGCAGATCACAAAGATCACGTCCGGTCCCACGCCATTACAGCATTTGAGTACATGCAGTCTCGTAACTTTTGGTTGCATATGATTCAAGCAGAGGTGTTCAAGCAAGAACTTTACTTACTCAAGTCAAACAAGAGGTTATCAAGAAACAGCGCTCTGATATCATTAAATCCATTCCTAGACGCAAATGGTCTACTCCGCGTTGGCGGAAGATTGGAGCATTCTCATCTACCATTTCAATCCAAACATCCAGTTCTACTAGCTGATCATCCAATTACTACAATGCTCATTCGCTACACGCACATAGCCTCGCTGCACGCCGGTCTTCAGTCTACCCTGTCTAAAATTCGCCAAGAATTTTGGATTATAAAATCTAGGCCTTTAGTTAAATCAGTTATCTACAGGTGCGTTCGATGCACGCGAGAAAGAGCTCAGGTAGCCAATCAGTTAATGGGTCAACTCCCATCAACTCGAGTCTCAACGCCAACGAGGGCGTTTTTGCACAGCGGCATCGATTATGCCGGTCCAGTGCTCATTCGAGCCTCTGCTGGTCGAGGAATCACCTCACGAAAGGCTTACATAGCCGTTTTCATATGTTTGGCAACTCGAGCCATTCATCTCGAGTTGGTCAGCGATTATTCAACGCCAGCATTTTTGAACGCATTTCAACGATTTTGCGCCAGACGAGGCTTGCCAGCAGTTATGTATTCGGATAACGGTACAACATTCACAGGAGCCGATAAAGAGCTATCCCGCGCGTATCGGGATGCTCAACGCAATACGGATTTTCTCAATTTAATCGCAACAGATAGGATCACTTGGAGTTTCATCCCGCCTCATGCTCCTCATTTTGGAGGACTATGGGAGGCAGGAGTGAAGAGTGTCAAACACCACCTTCGTCGAATTGTAAGCTCACACGCATTGACATTTGAGGAGTTCACGACAGTGTTGTGCAAAATTGAGGCTATCCTCAACTCAAGGCCGCTTTCTCCACTCAATGATACTCCAGATGACTACGAGTTCCTGACCCCAGGTCACCTTTTGATTGGGACTGCCATTACTACGAATCCGGAACCTTCCGTTCTACAATTGAACGAAAACAGATTGTCGCGATGGCAATTACTCAGACAGATTACGGAGCGTTTTTGGAAGCAGTGGCAGTCAGATTATGTCAATACTCTTCAACAAAGATCAAAGTGGCGTCGAGAAACGCCTCCGATTCAGGTTGGCTCAATGGTTTTGATTCAAAACCCCCTTCTCCCACCGTGTAAATGGGAATTAGGGCGAGTTATTCATTGTCATCCGGGCTCTGACGGGTTAACTCGAGTCGTCTCAGTTAAAACAGCGACGTCCGAATACAAGCGACCAGTAACTAAATTGTGCCTACTACCTATCGATATTAACTTAATCGATCAACTGTCGGAACGTAAGACAGGTACTGCGGAAAACCCAACTCCATAATGCGCATGCAACGTCTCAATCGTTCGCATAATTAGGACAAGTCAAGTCCTTCGTAGTTAGTTAAGGCGGGCGGCGCTCAATATCCTTGACTACTCAAGACCACTCGCGTCGCGTTAATGTAAGTTTAGTAAGAATCTATGTCTTAATATTGTTATTCAATCATGTAAGCAACCAAATGCCTGTTATTGTTCAATATGTAATCACTGAATCTCACTCGAAAAATCATTAAGCGATTAACGTTTTATTTTTTTTCTTTTTTTTTTCTTTATGTAACAAAAAAAAACCCAAACCTGGGGTAAGTTCTTTAGTTACTGTAAGACATTTCGAAATCTTTATTTCGAGGCGGGCGGTATGTTCAGAAGTAAGTTGACCCCAGGTCAAGAACTTTATTATTTGTTCAAAGAGAATGAAGAAGTAGGTCGATAATTTGAAATTCTATAATTTTTGAGTTAATCCGGCACGGGGCAGCACGCACTGAACCTACACGCCGCGCTTCAAGCGTTCGATTATCGAATCGATCGGGGATGAACTGCCTCGTCATCGAACCTGGGCATTCGCTCCTGGCACGGCTTTGCGATTAGTCACATGTGGGTTTTCCGTCGCGATTCTAATTGTTCGTAGTTCGTTTGATTAATAAAAAAAAATAATCAGATTGATATTCTGCTGTGATTCAGTGATAAGTGAGATGTGAAATACGTTCACTTTGACATTCGCTAATTAACGGTAGCAACAAGGTGCGCCGTTATATACGCGACATAAAATTTGCGCTCAAAACATTGTTAACGAAGCGGAATTCAGTGATTTGGGACCAGAATTCACGCAATGGTGAAATATCAAGGTGCCGAAGTCCGATTGTTTCCACGAACGTAATAATTGTATACATGAGGCTCGCGCGTGTTCGCTTGGCACGCGTAGATCACGTGAGTTGGAGCGCGCAGATCACGTGATCAGTCATCTGGGACTGATACCTGATGTCGTGATTGTGTTTGCGTTCCTTTTTTTTCATCCCTTCGAGCCCGTGGTGCTCAACGCACTGTAACATTTATGTGATCAGTGATTCTTCATGTTAATTGAAACATTTCGGTTCGCGATTTAATATCGCATTCGCCGCAATCGGCAACGTGTACGAAATCTTAATGTGAGATTTCGAACGATTCGATACACGAGTTTCGAGCGTGTTCATCGTAACTAGCAATTGTTATGCAACAAATAGTTTTTCGGTGGTGTCCATGCAACACATGCTAGATACCATATAGTGAGACATTTCGGACTGCTTAACAACCACGTCGTACGTGTTTTCGCGGTGACTATTTTATTCGTTAATAGATAAAGATTTTATGTAAAGGTTTCAAATTAATTTGCGTTTATGTACATTGTGACTCTCGGACAAATTTAGTTAATAAATGGATTGTTTTTTGTGTAATTTGTGCATATAATTCCGTATTCTGGTTCTCGATTCGGCACGTGGCTTAAATCGTTACCCATCCTGCGCACCAATCGGAGCGCGTCCACCCTCCTTAAGATACAGTCCACTTTGAATCTTCCTGTGCAATCTATACACGAGACGGATATCGACGATCGGATTTACAACCCGATTGTCAGGATCCGTAGCTTCGTGCGTGAGCGTTCAACGTCAGCAATCGAGCGTACGCGCAAACAATATGCTTATTGCCATATTATCTATTCGCATTTTGTTTCAGATTAATTTGATTATTTGTATGTAAAGTTTACTTGTATTTTATTAATATTTGCATATGATTTTGTATCTTATATAGTTAACTAAGATTTATTAATTTCAATATTTTATTATTTTTTTCTAACTACTAAACTTAATTTTATAAATTTGTTCTAATTTAAATAATCGATCAAAATTATCACATGCCAAAAACATATCACATTTATCAAAAAGACGTAAAAAATCAATTGATTTCATGTCATATGTCACAATTACATAAAATTACAACTACACAATACACAAAATATTAATGGTTGCAAAAAAACATTTTAAAATTAATTCTGAATAATATAAGAAAAAATAAAAATATGAATGTTGGCTGTATTAAAGTATCTAACTCAGAGAATACATTTCATAATGAAAACTAATACTCTTCTCAGTTGATAACATTTTTTGATGCATCCAATATATCCTTAATCCATCAATGATAATAGTTTTTTCAGCATCTAATAGTTTTGACATTCCTTTGCATCAATCAAGATAGTTCTTTCATTGTCTAATTTTCTTCCAAATCATTGATTTAATAATGAATCTTCGGTACAAATTACAAACTTAAGTTTACAAGAAGATTTGCAATCTTGTTTCCAAATCATTGTATTCCTCAAGGTACTGTAGATAAACTTCTTTTTATTTGTGCGGAAACATTAGGTCATCAAGAGACACGGTAGTGTCTCGCGACCAGTTAAGGGCGTAGCGGAGACACCGTGTATCTTAACGCGAGTCGGACATTTGAGTCTTTATAATATTTCGAATCCTCAATAATGGCTGAAGCAATCGAGTTTATACTAGACTTAATCGATAGATTGAGTTCGAATTATATAATAAAAGTGTCTTTATTTCTGCTCTACGTGATTTGTAAGCAGAAATATAAATGCAAAGTCGAAATATGAAAAATTTCTATTAAGAAACGTCCCCGTCATCATTATCATCATTTCATCATTATCATCATCATTATCATCATCGACCACGCATACATAGTAGTATCGTGCTACACGTATTCACACGTATACAACACATGCGCACACATATCCACACGTACACAACACATGCAAGATGCATGTAGTGGTAATTTTGTCCATCTCGCACGTTTTACAACAGATGGCGATAGTGGCGCTCCGCCATATCGGCAGCGTGCGGTTATGTTGGCTAACTCTCTCTCTCTCTCTCTCTCTCTCTCTCTCTCTCTTTCTCACACACACACGCACACACACACACTCTCCTCATTCTCACTCACTCACTCACTGTTCGTCTTGTGTACTATTTAGTACATTCATGATCGGCAGCGTGCGGGGTTATGTTGGCTAACTCTCTCTCTCTCTCTCTCTCTCTCTCCTCTCTCTCCTCTCTCTTTCTCACACACACACACACGCACACACACACACTCTCTCTCATTCTCACTCACTCACTCACTGTTCGTCTTGTGTACTTATTTAGTACATTCATGATTAAACATCTATATGCATTAATGTGAAATTTACTTACAATTAGTTTACTTGAAATATTCAATCTCTAAAGTGTTTATCTTATAAGATAGACAAAAAAATCTGAGTAAATAATAAGAAAAAAAAACAAGGATTATTATTGTCATAATTTTTTATCAATTAAGTACTCTCAACTATCCAATAATTAAATAAATACGTACAAATGTGCGCGCGTGTACACACATACACATATTGATATTAAAGAGATTGAAGGAGAGGAAGGAGAAGATAAAAATTTAAATATTCACATATATTTTCAAATATTATATATGAATTTATAGTTTACATATCTAATTAATAATGAATTTCTAATTATATTAAACATATCAAAATAAAGACATACATGTATTTATCAAATGAATAAAATTATTGAATACAGACTTAAAAAATTTATTAAACATAGACTTAAAAAATTAATTAATTAAACATATTCCAAATTTAGAAAAAATAAACTTTATTTATATATGCAACAGCTTTTTAAACTAAATTTTTAAATTCTATTTTATATTAGACAATTATCTCAATCAACATCTACGTCCACATTAGCTGCACTGCAGACTACCTCTACAGCCACATTATCTGCTCCGCGGATATAGCGTTATGCCAATACGATACATTACATGTACTTACTTACTTGCCTTTACTGTACCAACTCTTGTTCTTTCCACGTAATCATGTTTTTACAGTTATCGTTTGCTGTATATCTTCCAGCAAACTTTATTTCGTGTGAAGTGTATTTAATTAATTAAATCTCTGCGAAAGATTGAGAAGATGAAGGGATAATTCAAACTATGAAGACATGGTTACATGGAAAAGACAAGAGTTGATACAATAATAAAGACATACATGTATTTGTATCCTGCTGGCATAAGGTTATAGAAGTTGATTGAGATTGAAAAATAATAATGAAAATAATAAAAAAATAAAGACACATGTATTTGTATCGTGCTGGCATAAAGTTATAAAAGTTGATTGAGATTGAAAAATAATAATAAAAATAATTAAAAAAAGGAAATATTCAATCATCATTTAAAAGCATATTTGAAATCTGTAGAATAAACAGTTTTTGCAAAAAATGTGGAGCATTTGAGCTCTAGTAAGTCTAAAAATAAATGTAAACATCAATTAATAATAACTGATGTTATATATATATTATATATATAAACCAATTTGTTGCAATATTCACTATAAAAGGTTGTAAGGGTAAGATGGCTAAAAGTGAATAATTTAAAAGATAGTTAACATAATTTTACATAAACTGAAATATTTCATAAAATAAAATATTTGTAATATTTCGAAGTTTATGTAAGATTATGTAAAAATTATACCTTTACAACTTTTTATAGTAAATATTGCGAGGAATCGATTTATATGAGAAAAATTAAGGTAATTCTATTTTGAAAATATAAGTGACCTTTAAATAACCTTGAAAATCGCC